GTATCAACTGAAATTTCAAGATGAAGAGGGTAATTTTTACAGTATGTTATGTAACTGTTACAAAATATCTCGGCCTTCAAAGTTTATATTTCAGTTTAGTAAAGGGCACCATAAAAGCGATGTTCTGATGTGATTTTGGGCTTCTGCCTGTGCAGTGTCCTCTAATTTGCTTCTGCTAAGGCGCTTCTTCCAGATAACAATTTATCTTAGAAGGTGTATGATTATGCTCTGCCGTTCTCTACACAGCTGGCTAATAAAGGGGAACACAACTAAATGAGCATCGTCACTCGTCAGACTGCAGACTGCTTGTTCGATCTACATAATTTCATGGACATTGAGGTTATCCTGCAGAAGTCAAAACTGACATATATCCAAACAGCAGATTTCATCCAGGTTCTCTGGGATTTGGTGAGGGGCTAATCTTACCTTGTTAATTTGACAGGTCCCATATAGAAATTTTCCAGTCATCCTGAGGCATGCACTTATGCCAGAGACTAGCAGTTTGCTTCCTTTGCTGTCTAGAAGTTCCTTGAAATGATTGGAAGAGATAACCAAGAATTGTACCCTCTGGTCTTTCCCCCTCTTCAGATCAGTTGTCATGGAGACCACAGAGTTCCCAGAGACTCATCTGCATCTGGCTGTCCTGGAGCTGAACAGCCTGCCTGTCCTAGCTGTTTTTTTCACACATCTACTGCTATCTTTTACATAGGAAACCAGGCAGCGTAACTGCGCTGTTTTTTACATCAGGCTGTAAAATACCGATGTGATAAAATAGATCAGGACAGTCTTCATGCCTTTGGCCTTAGATCTACCTGTCTGCTGTTGCATTTCATGAGGCTTGGATGTTTCAGCAGACTGAGCTAATGAACTGTGAACGAGCAATGCTGCTTCTTAATTTAATGCTTTTTAGTGAAGTTGGTCTTCCTAACAGTGATCACCTCAATAAACAGTTGTTTTCCAGAACCAGTTTCCCTTGAATCCATCTAGACTTTCTCAGGTACCTCAGATTTTTATGCAAGACAGCTGATTATTCCATTTATTTTCTCCTACACACTCGAAGTGTCTCCTCACATTTTAGCTACCACATGGCCCTTGTTCTTCATTCAGTAATAAGGAGACATCTCCACAGCCATTCACCTCAGTGGTAGACACACAGAAAGTACAACAGTTTTCACACAGATGATCCAGGTGGGTAACAAAAACTGTATTAAACCCTCTCAAGGCAGACTTGATTTAGTATTCAGACCGTACTCCACAAAGCTTATCCTAGCTTTATCTCCATCCTCGATCTAAGATTTGTCACACCTTTGTCATAAAGATATCTGGGAGCGATACTGAATTTAAACAGTCAGTCTTACACACTCATACATTCATAGCTCCTCTTTCTCTCCCTTTAACTTAAAAAGAAGTAGGATACTGCTTGGAATCATTTGCAGTGAGCATATGGAATATCAGTTGAAGAAATAAAAAGCTTATATATCAGTAACCAAATTTACAGTTGATAACCCAACTTCACCTTTTGCCTCTCCCTCAATACTCGTAGATATCTCTAGTTAAAAGAAATTATAATTATATGGCACAAATGGAACCATTCTGTCTTAAAACAGGCAGCAGAGGACAAGCGTGGATACATATACTAGTTTGTGTCAGGCCAGAAATAAGTTCATTTTATTGACTGTCCACTAGGTGGGGAAATCATGCATACTGTATTAAACTGTTCCATACTCTTCTGAATGTATTTCAGAAAAAATTATATTACACTTTCCTCATGCTTCCAGGAAAACAGCAGGAAAATAGTTATCAGTGATGAATGAAAGCATGTCACAGCACAAAGTTTCTTTCAAAGAGTAATTGTTCTAGATTTACAAATTATTCCACAGGAGGGAAAAATCAGTACAGATAACATTCCCCTAACAGGGAATTTAAGCAAGCAAGTATTTTAAAAAAACACAAAGTCTTAAACTTTAATAATGTTATTTACCCAATATTGTTAACTTTTAAAAATACACCCACAACCTAAGGCTCATATATTAATCCTTTACAGGTTTTTCCACCTACCACATCAAATACAGTATTTTCCTATCAGACTGCACCAGTTACAACACCTTCACAATCTTTTATGAATAAAACGTCGAACTCTAACATTCACACTGGTGGTAATCAGGTCCCCTCTGTGCAAAACGGACCTGCTACTCCCAATAAGGTAAGGTTAGCCCAAGAATGTTCCACAGAGTTCAGTTTGATATTATTATTCTTAAATAACATGTGACTATGTACATACTGCAGCTCATTCAAGGAGGAAGGATATTTTGTGGATTTTAATAATGCACATACATATGTATGTGTGAGAAAGAAACTTATTATTTTATCACTTTGATTACCTATGCTAGTGTTATTTGTAAATATGTAGATCGGTAGGATAATCTGTAGAAATTGATGGATCTCGAATTCACTAAAACATACTGTTTAGTCATTATCTTGTTATTTCACACAGCCTGGCTCTCCATCTCAAGCCCAGCCTTATATTGTTCAACAATCCCTCTTCAACAATACAGTATCCAAGACAAAAGATCCTCCTCGTTATGAAGAGGCCATAAAACAGACCCGCAATATTCAGACATCACCCCGTGAGGTAGTTATTTCCTCCTGTTTAGTTTATTAAAAACATTTTTTTTTCTTTAAAATTACCAAAGCCATTGCTTATTTTAGTTTTTTTGTTTGGTGTCAAGCTTTTCTAAGATACTCTGTTAATATTTTCCTAACTGCGTTTAAGTACAGGACTACTGTTTCATGATTCAACAGACATGTAAGTCAGTCTTACAGTATCCAGTTGGTGATATATATAATTGGCATAATGCTGCTATTCCTACTTAACAATAACTAGCCTTCAACTGACTTGTTTCAAGGATGTATGATACCCAAACTTCAGACTTTAAAAGAGAAAAAATACATTTATATTTTCCAAAGTGAGTAATGTGAGGACAATGTGTGTGTGTTTTTACACACTTAGGCAAACATATGTATACATGAGCATAGGTGCTTGCTTGAAAAGAGTCTATATTTAGTGAGCTTGATGAATAATCCTAGGGAGTGCTTTGTCAGTTTACCATGATACCCTTCGTGTTGGGGGAAAGTTGCAAACAAAACTAACGAGCATCCATAACCTCATGCGTTCCAGAACTATCCCAAAAGATAAGACATTGTAGTGACTTAGTATTGGTTGCTGGTTTTGTGGTGGCAGACACTCAGGCAGAAGCGTGGGTATCTAATGCCATTTCCTATGTTCTTGGCATGTGTGAGACATCCTCACAGTGAAGTCACACAGATCTTCTTACATGACACTGTCACTACCCATTAGCAAAGTGCCTCCCCACTGGCCTCTTTTCAGGAGGTAGATCTCCTGATGACAAATTACTTCCCATCCCCAGAGTATACTCAATCTTTTAAAATACTGTGTTAGATTTGAGACCATCATAAAAGTCTCCACTTTTCCTAGAGCATTTTTGAAAGGATGTGTTTGTGGGGGTTTTGTTACCTTTTGCTTAAGGTTTAGATAATCAGGAGGTGGCTGTTTCAAACAAACAGATAAACAGATGATGAAAGCTTGCCCCCCTTTAAAAAAAGAAAAGAACATGAATCTACAAATTGAAAAAAAACCCCATACCTAACAAAATGCATCTTACCCTGTGAATAGCCATCATGTATCTCTGAGAGAAAGCAGTTCAGGGTGCACCCCTGTAAGTCCTGCAGTTATTCCAGATACTTACCCTGATACAAAACAGGGTTAGGAATTCTCCTCCTTATCCCTAGTTTTCTGCACCTCTCTTCTAGGTTGCCTTCACGAAATCTTTGTCTTGCTTTTCAGATTTTTTCCCTATTCCTTTGTACTGAAAATGACCACAGGAATTACAAGTGTGTCTCCAAACTATTTCTCTGTTTTCTAGATTGACAGTTTCATATGAAGAATTTTAGTCTTGATCATAGGTTAGTACTTATGTAGTATTGAGAAGCTAGGATCAATCAGCTTAGGAAAAAATATTACATGAGAAAGAATAACCCTTTTCTCATAACTACAGATCTCCAGTGCACACAGTCAGCAGATGGATGATCTTTTCGATATTCTCATCAAGAGTGGAGGTAAGCTAATTGACATGTGTGATGTAGAGATTTGAAACCTGATAATAAAAACTCAGTGCTATAATCAAAGGGATGAGAGGAAAGAATTCTTCCAGGGAGAGGAGGTAGAAGATATCCAGCCTGGATGAAACTAGTATTTCAATAATTCTCCATTAAAGAAAACATTTACCAAAACACATAGAGTCAACCGGCTGTGGAACTTCTCTGCTTGTAAATTAGCCCAGGTAGACACAGCATTTGAACGATTAAAATAACACCTTAGGTTATCACAGACGTATTTTATCAAAATTGGCCAAGTTGAGCAAATCCATGTAATGTATATTGAAATTACACAAAAAATAGAATAAGGTAAGAGTTAAAGCATGTTGATACTAAAATTTCACTAAATATAACCATGCATTATCAACTCTAAACATCAAAGATACATTACTGGAAAAAGCATGTATGAACTACATAGAGACATTAATGAATAACAACTTTCTATGTCAGTTGAAATAACTGAAATAAGTAATACACAAAGTAGCTTTGCAGTAAAAGAAGGCAGTGTTCAGGCGTAATTAGGCTTTGTAGTCTAAGAAGCCATTACAATACTGCGAAATGTTTTGGTGCCAAGCAATTCAATTAACTTAATGTTTTGTTCTACTGTCATATAAGGATCTTGACAGCCATGAATGCCAGGACAGAAGTGACTGATTGTAGGCTATTAGAAGATTTTTAGCCATATTCTAAGCATCAAAGTATTTTCTCTTTTTCGAAGCAAATTGCAAAGTCAGCTGAAGAAAATGGAGTAGACAGTGACAGACTGAGATAAGTGACCTGTGCAGTGAACAACTCAAGCTAAATTAAAAAATGCTTCCAGTGCTTTCATTAAAATACTGCATGGGTAGTTCGAAGAAGTTCTGCCTCTGGAACAGAGGTTGTAGGAAACATCGGTGTGCTTACTTAAATATTTGCTTCGAGTGTTATGTTACTAAACCTACTTGATCTTAAAGTAACAACTGCTCCATATTTGCAAAGTTGCAATAACAAAGCAAACATTTCCTGATCATCTTTACGAAAAATGAAGTAAAGCATTCAGGGCTTTTGCACTTATGTGAGTTCTACACTGGAAAATGTTTAGTTTATTAATGTACTTCAAGAGAGTGAGAGGGTCCATTTAGTATTGTTTTGCTTTTACTAAGCAATCATTTTAATAGATGCTCCTACAGGTTTTAAGGATGTAGTTTTTGCTTGGAACACTGGTGCAAAATATATTGTCAGGTATATTTTTGCTGGCAGAAACATCACCTGTGCCAGAGGATTTATTTGCATATTCTGGTCTTTCTAATCTTATTTTTGGACTCCATTCACATATAAGAATTAATTGGAACTTACTTTGCTTTATTTCCTTTAATTGTTACTGCCATTATCTTACATGGAACTTCTTCACAGAATAGTTTTAGATTCTAGAATCAGGAATAAATGCATCCTGATCACATCAATTGATCTCTTAGACTTATTCATCAAGGTGGATGCAGTACTAAACACAGATGGAACTGAAAAGTGGTTCAGGTACTTTTCTCTAAATGAGGAAATGTGTTGGATCCATAATTCTAATTAGTCAGAAGAACTATAAACGCGAAGAAGGTAAAGCTAATACCTAGAAAATAGTTCCTTTTTTTCATCAATATAAATATTCTAATTGGCTGAAGTATTACTGAAAGCAGAACTCTGGAACTTGTTTTAAAATACTTTGTTGTTCATACAGCACCTGATATAGTCTGATGTATTGTAGTGTTAGTATTAATCAGAACAGCAAAATTACACTTACGCCATTGAGTTCACTGTGGATGCATCCCAAAGTGGGCAAAAAAGGGGTGGAAATTGCAAGCCTGAGAGTATATGTCATTATCTTTTCTGAATTCAATACTGGGGGTGTTTTTTTATTACAGAGATTTCCCTTCCAATAAAGGAGGAACCATCTCCCATTTCTAAAATGAGACCAGTAACAGCCAACATCACTACAATGCCAGTGAATACAGTGATATCCCGCCCACCACCACAAATCCAAATGGCCCCTCCTCCTGTGTCCTTAGAACCAACAACCAGCTTGTCTATAAGTTTGGAAAACCAACTTGAAGCCCTCTTGGATGGAACTTTACCGTCAGGTAATGAAATTCCTCAACTGACAAGCAGTAATGAGGACAGAGAGTCATTTTCTTTAATTGAAGACCTCCAGAATGATCTGCTTAATCACGCCAGCATTTTAGATCACACTCATTCACCCATGGAAACATCCGACCCACAGTTTACCACTAATAATTCTTGTCTGTCTCTTGACCTTCCTGATACAAATTTGGACAATATGGAATGGTTAGACATTACAATGCCCAGCTCCTCATCTGGACTTACTCCTCTCAGTTCTACTGCCCCCAGCGTGTTCTCCACTGACTTTCTAGATTCACAGGATCTACAGTTGCACTGGGATTAAGCTATAGCCAATGAGAACATGACCTGCAAGTCTCTTTAGAGCAGAGGTCTCTTAACTGCAATCAGAATGGTATAATAAGTTAAGACGGTAATGTTTGGAAAAACAAATACTTGAAGCTAATTCCTTATTGATTTTCAAGTTTACAACAATTAATTACTTTATGCTCCTATCAGTAATGTAGGTCAGGGCCCCCTGAAAGCTGTATTTTGCAAGTCAAGAAAGGATGATTGTACTTACTGATTAAAAGCACCCCAAGGTAAATGCATCACAGATACTTAAGAAAGAGGTTATGTCTCCGACTTTGTAATGCTTAAATGAGCAACACAACATGGCTGAACTTAGAGAAGTAGTAGTGAGATTTCAACTGTCTGTATTGACATAATGAGCAAATGTTTGGGGGAGGGTATCACTGTACTTCATTGTTCCTGTGGATAGCCTGAGCCAGGTTCAAAGTGAATTTGTGAGGGCAAAGGCAAGTAGAAGCACTGGCTGGTTCAGTGAAATTTCATATATCTAGTCTCTTAATTTCTTCAAGTTGTTTTTGTATTTTGGTTTTGTGGTTTTTAAAACTCTTCCCCCATTCTTTAATCATGAGGGAAGAATTTAACTGCATCCAAAGGGATATTAAGTATAACTGCAAGAAATCCACTGTAGCTATGCCAGGTAACATTGAGAACACTGAATTTTCTATAGCAATGCTCTGGATTTAATAGCTAGGTTTTAATGTGTATATCAGACAGTTATTTGTATACTGTTTTAACTTTGTATAGCTTATTTTTGTCAACAGAGGGGAACAGTGGTTTTCAAACAAGAGATTACTATAATGGAAATAATAAATATCCTGATTTACTTTGTGTTTGAGGATATTTGTTAGATCATTGAATCCAGTATCTCAGCAGATCAGAACAGTGTGAGGAACTAGAAAAGTTTAATTAATGCTGTTGTGCACTACGATCCTGCAAGCATCTATGGAAGAATAGTCCCAGTGCCGTCAATAAAAGATGTTTGTAGGATCAGACGGAGTTGTAGGGGACAGTACTGACAGGACAACCATCATTTCTTAATGAGTACTTTATCTGTTGAACAGCTTTGTCTACCACTAGGTAACATGAGGGAAGCTAAACAGAGAAGCTGCTCAGTGAGAATCCTAAATAGAAGTATCAGGATGTACTGGTTTGTGATAAGAAGGCATATTTCATACCTGAAACAAACAATAGCAAAAATTAAGCTCTTATCTCACAGCATATGAAAATATTATTTTTTAAAGCCTTTAGTAGTTTTTTTCAGAGTCTATCATGAAAGCAGTTGGAAAAACAAACCAAAAAATACAAATAGAAGTAAAATACTTTGAAATTCTACTGTTGTCTCTCAAGTAATAGCTGTTAAATGTTGCCACAGATGACGTAGGCTGATAATCAAACATAAAATTGGAATTATTTCCTATTAGGGAATTCCTAAATTAAGATAAAAGGAAACAGTCCCCTATTTCCTGAACAATGGAAACGTGGTATGTTTTCTAGTCTGAAAACTGATCTCATTGCAGAATTCCTTCCTTACCACTAACCTTCAAAAATAAAGTTTTGTAGGAACTAAGGAAAAAAATGCCCTGAAGGTTTTGCTTACTACTTAGAGTAATAATATGTATCAAAAAGTATCAAAGAAATAATAAAACCAGAAAGTAGCTGTTAACTATTTAGCAACCTGTATCACATTAAAAAAAAAAAAACAAACCACACACAACACAATCATGTTAACATCAAAGAAAATACTTTTGTCAGAAAATGTTGTGAATTAACTGCAAATTTATGTCTCCATATATACAATGCAGTCTGATTTACTAATATTACAGAATTCCATTGGCTTCAGATAAAATAGTGGATTATATAATTGATTCAGGGTTTAAACTGGCATCCTATGTTTGCATCATATCAGTTACCAGCACTTTAAATCATCATGTATCTTCAATAGTTTTACAGGCCAGGATTTTCTTTCATCTGAAACTAAGTACAGAAAAACAATCTATGGAGACTTTCACAACAAAAGTTGAAAGACATATTTCCTTATTGCTTCTTGCTGTGCCTACAATACTTGAGTACAATATTACGTGTGGACTGTCTGCCTTAAATTTTGATGGTATAGGACTCTTCAATAACATTGAGCAAATGCATTCAACTTTTTGCATTCCTTTTCATCTTACTATCTTGGGAGCTAAGATACTGAGATACTAAGTGCCCTCAGCTGTTACAAGAATAAGAGTTAAGGACTTTTGGTCTGATGGGAACATCTTTGAATGAAATTTAGTGTTCTGCAGTACTGTCAATTTATTATGTGTGATACATCATACCACATATGTGTGGTTAGAGTTACCCCTTTTTGACCCTGCCTTCTGATTAAATAAGAGGCAAGTAAATTAAATTTTAGAGGACAAATTAACCTAGAGTAACTGTACTGTCACTTTTGATGTGCATGTAAATAGAGCTTAAAACTGGCAAAGTCATCTTGCTACAAAACTTAGCCTTATTGGCCGTGTAGAATGTTAACTAATCCATAGGAATCTATGTGCAGAAATAAACCCAAACAGTTTAGATGTGTTGTTACCAGTACAGTATAGCTTTCTACTCTCAAAGTCTATTTGCAAGGAAAAAAAAAAAAAAGGAAAAAAAACTACTAAAAAATTTAAGGGATCATTTTAGTTTTTGAAGTACAAATACTCTAGTGTAGAGAATGTGTGATTATTCTTTTGTACATTTCAGAATTGTGTATTAAACCTTATATATAATGGTTTGCTTTAGACTCTGTTCTGAAATGTGATCTATTTGCCATAGTTATATATGCCTGTTATGGCAGAAATAGGTTTTGCTTAGACTTTTGTGTGTGCATGTTTTACATGACAATTTTTGTACACAAATACAATACATCTTAGAAACTTAATCATGACTGTGCAGTTTGACTGTACAGAACTGAATATTTCTCATTAAGAGAACAGTTGCAAAGGAATGCACTGGCACTAAATTTGCCATTTAATGGCTGCAGTATACTAACAGAACACATCCTATCAAATGTGGTGTTAGTAGATCCTTCAAAGTAATTAAGAATACCATTTTATCAGTGTGAAAATCAAAAGTTGGTGTTTACACTTCTAGACAGGGAGAAAGCTCAGACATATGTTTTACAAGGCTAATGTTAATCAAGAGAAGTCACATCCTGCATTTAATACAGAAATGATATTTGTTATGCACTTTTAGTGCCATTCAGCATTAGTTAAGGCAAGAAAGTTTACAGGCAAAATTTTCTTTAATGTTATAACTAGTTATGAAATCATTGTCATAAATTTAGCAGTTCTCTCTGAGAATAAAATGAATTTATGGCAGTTGTTCTCTACAGAAATTTAGAGTCTAATCCAGCAATGTGGGCTTCCAGAATCAGACCTTTAAAAAGCTGAGGCCACAGCTTTTGGAAATAAACACTACTTAATACTGAAATTTCTTTCCAAGGTACTGCTTAATTCACCGACAGGAGTTATGTTCAAGGAAGCAGGTGATCAAAATAGAAATTTCAATATTAAACTTTCATGTTATGTAATCTCAAACATTCAGATGCCTGAAAAATGTAGGCACCATAATTGTAAACCAAGCACAAGCTGCTGAACTGTTTTCAAGGCAGAGAAAATGCAATCACAGAATACATTTAACTGGAAGGGCATTATGTAATCAAAACACAGTACAGCTCGCAGATGTAAACAATTATTATTTGGATGCCATCTTCAGTGTATTATAAACTTAAAGCAAATTCTATTAAAACTGGAAAAAAAATTAATTCCACTTATCTCTAGTAAATGTTCTGTTGAAACTCTTTATATTGTGGTCTGTTAAATTGCCTTTTGATGACTCCTAGACCATACTACAGATTTTTTTTATGTGAGATATGTGGAATGGAGTTGCATATAGTATACACATGGCCAATAAAGAGCATCCATTAAAACTGAAGTAGTCTCAAATATTCCTTTTATACCAGTTTGCTAGGAATAAAGTGCAAAAAAGAGACACCTACATCATTCTGTAGTGTCCAATACTGATATAAAGACTTTTTAAGTTAAAAGTGCATAAATGTATTTGTAGAAATCTAGCCAAAAAACCCCATTCTAGCTATGAGAGCAAATTCTCAATAAAAAGCAGGGAATGGTTAATAACTATATAATCACACTATTTTTATAAAAAATACAGCTCAGACATTCAAAAGACATCTTGAAATAAATTATAAAAATTTAAATAGGAACCAAAGCATTGCCATTTATATTGCCAAAGGAGGCACTTTGTATTTTGAAGCATAGGAAATTAAATCCCCCAAAGTATTATCCATACTTTTTTAAAATTAAAGATGTAGATATTTTCAAAGCTGGTTTTGATGTTTAACAGTACAGATTTGTTTTTTGTTGTTTGAGAAATTTGTATTAAGTAATAGCACAGGCTTTCTTCCAGATAGGACTTTTCTTCACAGTACTGCTTGCAGTAGAAATAACGCTAACCCTAGTAGGTGTTTCTCTTCTTATTTTCATAGTCATAATTATGTCTTAGCATCTCATTTTGTGAAAAGAAGAAGATAGACCTGTCTCTAGGGCCCTCTTCATTTAAGCACTACTTTACTAAATGCAAATTATGGCAATCAGGGCATCAGTTTATGTATTGCCTTTCTATAAGAAACCATGATGCCTTTGTATTTGCTGTTTGCACCCCTAAAATCAATTCCGTATGTTTGAATGCCATATGTTTTGCACATTGTACTGTATATATGTAATGCATACTGTATTTTTATATGTGTACGACATTTATCAAATATTTTGTACATAGTGGCAATATTGTAGCTACTGAGGAAATGTTTGATATTTCAGCATTTTTGCTAAGTGTCTCAAATAAAAAAGGAAAACTGTGTTCGTTTCCATGCTTACTGCTTAAAAGTGAAAAACACCATTAATAATAATCAACAAAAATTCTGACATCAGAAACATTTGGCCTATGCTCTAAGTACCTTTCCCACAAAAAGGTGTAAGAATGAAATCTGCACTTAGACAAACTCCAAAAGAATGATTGTTTGTTGTCAAAATCGGAGCCAAAATCTGTAAGAATAAAGATTTCCCAAACACTCAAAGTTTAGGTTTGGACTGCCTTTTTTTTTTTTTAAAGCAATACTATTATATTAATTCCTATAGTGTTTTTTCTTCTTTTCTCAAGACAGGTAGGGTAAGAACCCAGACTTTTCAGTACTTTTGTCATTAAAAAAAAAAATCCTAATGTATGCACAACTGTACTATCTTACATTACACACAGGTAAAACATACGTGTGATACTCTTTAATGTATTTTAAACGAAGTGGCTTCATAAAAATTAAAACAATTGTAAACAATGACCTTTTTATATAGCTCATAAGCCACATAGTCCTTATTTTGTAATTTGGCACCATGTTTTCATGATGTGCAGCTGCTGGGTTTCACCCTCCCACACCTCATCTACTAACTAGTTCATTGAAAAATGACTGTTTCTTTGGCTCAGCCCAATCGTAAAAACCTAAGCATCCAAGAATACCTATCCT